AAAAGGCCAAAAGAACCTGACCCGCCACCAACCATATCAACCAGCCCTTGTTCCCCACTCATGGTCTAAAGCATAAGTCCAAATTAGCCTATCAATCTCCCCCTTTTGCTCCCCTACCTACTGGCTGAAATAACCCCACAAAACCAGCCCACATCTCTGAATTCATCCCACCAAAAGGACATGAATAAATGGCTATTATTCTTAACATGTGGAAGAGGAAGTTGCTTGGTAGTTTCTTTGCAGTTACATTCAATGTATTGTGTGTCCCCCCCCCCCTTTCCTCTTTATAAATTCGGCCATATGGCCTTTGTAAAAGACATCTTTTGGAATATAAAACTTTGTTACTCTTTGAGTATTCTTAAAATAGTGTGATGCTATTTTAGCCAAATTCCTAATTCTATATCTTAAGAGTGGTTCTCTTGAGTTTGAGTTTTAGGTTCTAGTTATTTGATTGAGTGTGTAATATCTTGATTAAATACTAGAGTTTAACCCCAAGTTAATTTAGAGGTGAGCTTATCCTTTAGTAATAATTTGGCTTCAAATTAAGATAAGAGTGTGTTTATCTCTTATTCCTTATTTGGAATTTATCCCATCCTTTCTAAGCCCATCCTTCATCCCTGGTTTTCCACTCTTCTTCATAATATCAAAAACCCAAAAGAACTCCTTTCACATACTCCATATTTTGTCCAGCCCATTCCCAACCTATACACCTCCATGTTCTTCCCATTTCCAAGCCTAGAAACATCAACTTGATAAGACCCCCGGTTCACCCCTAACATTTATACATCGTATAGACTCCCAATGGGTGCCATTATTTTCATTGAGCACACTGTTGCCTAATTTTGCCGTTGCAGTGACTTCATTCTGGCCCACTCATTTTGTTTGAACATAAAGGCGTAGGAAGAATTAATGAGGTTCATGTGTTATGCACTACTTATGCATTAATTGACTCTAAGGCATGGTCTTTTTTTTTGTAACACCCGCCTTCCGTGGACCCGGTTCACCCGCGACCCGACGGACCGGTAGGGTTACATGGGCGGTCCGAGAACCGTCCGTTACAAAAACATTGATGATTATTTAATAAGAAAACGGTTGTGTTTTGATTAGTGGAATAAATGCTATGGAATTAATTCCAAAACATGTGTGATTTAAATGCAGAGTAAAAGCGGGAGTAAATTGATAAGTCCATAAATTGATAAGTCCAAAATAAGTAAAATGACATATGGTGGGTTCATGCCCAAATGATTAATTAATTAAATGGTTAATTAATAAACTCGTCCATGCGCCGCCCATCCTCCCATCATCACTGTCCTCCAGGGTTAGCACCTGTACCGTCATGTCTACCTGCGTGTAGCAAAAACAACTACACGCTCAGCAAAAGCTGAGGAGTGAATCTAACAAAAGAACATGAAGTGATAACTCATGTGGTCATACACATGTTAATACCTGTACTTAACGTACAGAAATCCACATGTTTACTAACTGATTATTTTGCACTTGATGGGATATTATTACACATAACAAAATGATATACTACCACATTGAATATGGACATGATGGGGAACATACATGATGATGACAACCACATTGATTGTTGACGTGACATGTAACATACATGATGACGATATGACTTGATGCATGATACCCCTGACTTAGTCTCACTTGACAGGATCACCCCTGCACTCCGGTAATGAGCCGGGCTCGACAAAACGTCGCAAGTGAACTAGCAAAACTAGGTGGTAGCCGTAGCCTGACTACCATGTACGTACACAAAGCCCACCTGATGAAAACCCGTTGGATCCCAAAGGTTCCTGGACGGGCCCACTGTAGTAGGCGCACGAAAGCCTGACCTCCCTACAGCGGTATGCACATGATGATGAGCCTAGGACATACGTCTAGGATGAACATGATGACATGAATGCATTGATTGAAGAATGAAGTTAAATTTAACGCATACATATGGGTTTGATTACAATTTGTTCAATATGATGGCCTTAGGTTCAGAACTGGCTGATAATCGATTGTCTACTGTTGATAATCGATTATCATGTTGTGCAGCTTCTGTCCCCAAAGTCCTGCAGACTATGATAGTCGATTGTCACCCTATGACAATCGATTGTCAAGTTGGTTTGTTCAGAAAGTCCTAAGATCAGAGAGCCCTGATAATCGATTATTGCCTATGTGATAATCGATTATCGGTGAAGCTAACTCAGACCCAAGAATCCGCAGGGCCTGGTAGTCGATTATCTCATATGTGATAATCGATTATCACGCTATGCTGAATCAACTGAGGAGTCCAGCGTGGCCTGATAATCGATTGTACTATTCTGTAACTCAATTATCAAGGCACGCTGACTTCCATTAAATCTGTTTGTTTGTCATCAAAACGTTGGAAGTTTTAGAAATGATTGTTTATATTTCCATGCTAGATAATCGAATAACTTACAAGGTTTCAAAACATTTATATTAACGAGAACATAACTTGATAACATGGACACACGTATGTTGGATGGAACATGCATAGTTTCTACGTAGGTTGTGTACGATATTCCTATGAATATAACAACATAGATTATGACTTGATGTTCTAGAATTAGAGGAGACAACTACTCACCTTTATTGAAGGGGTTGACGGAATGATATGGCGAGATGAACGAATGGATGACGATGGATGAACAACGAATGGTTTCTCGTGGTCACCTCCTTCTCTTCTTCCTCCTCGTCTACTCACCGGAACCGTCTCCCTGGGCTGCTACTGCTTGGCCGAACAAGAGAAGGGAAAAGGGAGTTGAGTGTGTGAGTGGAGGTTACAAAATGTGATGGGGAAGTGAAGAGAGAAGGGGGGTTTAAATGGAGAACATGAATGGGGAATTAATGGGTTACTAATGAAGGATTAAAGGGAGAGGAGTTATGGGAGAGGAAGGGTGTGGCGTGTGGTTCATAATTTGGGGAGTTACCTCCTTAAATTCCACTCTGTTGTGTAGAATTTGATCTGAATGGTACGCGGTTTTTCCCCCGAACGGGTCCGAATTGAAAACCGTTTTACGTTTTTGGAACCAGAGTGTCAAAACAAATTTAATGACGTGTTCAAATAATTTTTCTAAGAACTTTATTTTCAAACTTCTGGGTCCACCCCAATCATTAATTAATTTATTTAATTAATGTTGAGAGGTCCGTTATTAAAACATCTTTTTATATTAAAATACATTAGCTTTGGAAAGCCATTTAAAGAGATCGAAATCTCAATATTTATTTATTTAAAACTAGGCCGGTTTGTAGGGCGTTACAGGTTTACCATTTAGTCATACTTTTTTTGACTGATTTAGTCATACATATTGATTCTAATAGTTTTCACTTCTTTTTTATTTGCTGAGATTGTTCATTCATTTGTGCAGTAGCTAGTGGTTATAAACTAGTAATTCATTGGCTAATGCTTGCTTAGTTTCTCAAGTAGTTATTATATTATGGAATATATTGTGCATTTTGTAGCATTAGTATTGTTATCCTCCGGACAGCTAGGATGCCTGATGAGTGGAGGGAGAGTCTCTTGGTCCCTCTGTTTAAAGGCAAAGGTGACATTCAGAGCTGCGAGAATTACAGAGGCATCAAACTGCTTAGCCATACCATGAAGGTTTGGGAGCAAATCATTGAGTGTAGGGTGCGGAAAGGGGTTTGCATCTCTGAGAACCAGTTTGGCTTCATGCTTGACAGATCGACTACAGAGGCCATTCATCTCGTGAGGGGGTTAATGGAAGAGTATAGGGCTAGGAAAAAGGACCTTCATATGGTGTTTATTGACCTTGAGAAGGCGTATGATAGGGTGCCTAGGGAGGTCTTATGGAGGTGCCTTGAGGTGAGAGGAGTTCCCATCGTGTACACTCGTGCGATCAAAGATATGTACGATGGGGCTATGACCAAGGTAAGGACTTCCGGGGGCGACTAAGATTCTTTCTCGGTAGGGATGAGGTTGCACCAGGGGTCTGCCCTTAGCCCTTTTTTGTTCGCCTTGGTGATGGATGTCCTAACTCAAGGTGTTCAAGACGGGGTCCCATGGTGCATGCTTTTTGCGGATGATATTGTGCTTATCGACGACACACGTGAGGGACTAAACGATAAGTTGGAATTATGGCGCCTTGCCCTTGAAACTAAAGGATTCAGAATAAGTAGGAACAAGACTGAATACATGGAATGTCGTTTCAGCGGCCAGGATACAGAATCAGAGGTGGAAGTCAGGATTGACTCGCACCTAGTACCTAAGGTAGACAGGTTTCGATATCTTGGCTCGGTAATCCAGGCTGATGGGGAGTTAGATGCAGATTTTGGACATCGTGTTGGAGTGGCTTGGGCCAAATGGCGGTTAGCTTCGGGGGTGTTGTGTGATCCGAATATTTCGCCTAGAATGAAAGGTAAGTTCTATCGATCCGTAGTCAGACGTGCTATGTTATATGGGGCAGAGTGTTGGGCGGTTAAGAAGACTCATGTGCGTCGTCTGCATGCGGCGGAGATGCGGATGTTACGATGGATGTGTGGGAAGACAAGGTTGGATAGGGTTTCAAACGAAGTTATCCGACATCAGGTTGGCATGGCACCTGTGGAAGATAAGTTGCGGGAAGCGAGGTTGAGATGGTTTGGCCATGTGAGACGGCGGGATCCTGACGCCCCTGTATGGAGATGCGAGAGGATTACAGTTATCAGGGGAAATAGGGGAAGAGGTAGACCTAGGAAGAATTGGAAGGAGGTGATTAGACAGGATTTAGGACTTCTCGACGTGACTGAGGATATGGCCCTAGATAGGAACCTTTGGAAAACTAGAATTAGAGTAGCTGGATAGGAGCTTGGTGTTGTAGAGGTTGTTTTGTAGTGTGTTGTATTCGTTTGGAATCTTCTACTATTGCTTGTACTTGGTGCTTTATCTGTGTTATACTGTGTTCCCTTCCATATTTTTGTGCAGGTGGAGCCGGGGGTCTCTTGGAAACAGCCTCCCTACTTCCGAGTAGGGGCAAGGTCTGCGTACACACACCCTCCCCAGACCCTACTGTTGTGGGATTCACCTGGGTTGTTGTTGTTGTTGTTGTTTGTAGCATTAGTATGGAATCAGGAATGAGTTTTAAGAAGGGTTTAAAGGTTGTGTATCAATTCCCAAAAAACAACACAACTAATCATGACCTTCTAATATGTTTTGGTTATTACTATAGTACAGCCTCTTGACAAATTTAAAATTTTAAATTAGTTGTCAATTTGGAAGAAGTGACCATTCATAACTTTGAAGCTTCTTACTCCCCTGATTGCAATATGCAATATGTAAGAGTATAAGACAATAAATAAACTATAGAACAACACATAGACAACAATGACATTATACATTGGCATGTTTTCCATCATGTATTGCCATGCATTGCATGATGCATTATTATGCTTCGCATTGCGCTTTATCCCTTTGCGCGTGTGACTCTATAAATTAGGATGAATACCATTATGCAGTTCCAAGTATCGCATTATGTGTTATAATATTTTCCATAATGTAATTGTTTGACACTGTATGAATATTTAATGGCAGTGGTTGTCGAGGCAGGGGCAGTGGTGGTATGGGAGCTGCCGACAGGGACAGTGGCAGAAGGGGTGCCACCGGTAGGGACAGTGGAGGTAGGGGCATTGCCATTATCAGCGATGGTGGCGGTGACAACCAAAACAAGGATGCTGCAAGTGGGAAAGTGGCGGAAGGAGCGCATTTGGCGGGGATATTGGAGTCAGTGGTGCTACTGCCAGCAGCGGTTGTGGCGATGGCAACAGTGGCAATGGCGGCAGGATGGGCGGCAACGACGACAGCGACAGTGCAAGTGCTAGAGGAAGTGGCAACAACATATGAGAAGATCAACAAGGAAGAAACCTTCAGTCGACTGTGGTCGTCTCAAGGAAACGAAAGAGATCAGCTGGAAGGAAATGAAAGTGTCGGCCAAAATCGAACGAGATAGGAGATATACAGATCCTATTTTGGGTATATAAGTTAGGAGCTCCTATTTGAGAATATGTCTAATGATTTAGTCGGGTTTTCTTATTAAAAAACTATTTTTATCCTCACTAATTCTTAATCTACCTATCACAACATACATTTTTACTAATAATTTACCCATCATATCCTATTTTTACCCATCACATCAAGGGTATTTTTGGAAAGTCAACATAAAAATATCCTTCCTTTAAACATCTTAAAAGTCACATCTTGTTAGGACGGAGGAAGTAAGTACTTTGTATTATCCATTCCCCTCACTTTCTCTATTGTCTCTCCTCTTTTCCATTTCACCCACATTACTTTCCCTCTAAATCCTTCCGTCCTAAAATGATCTTTGTAGTTCGGCCTACGAGTTTTGACTGAAATTATTTTCAATTTATTTTATTTGGTTATAGGTGTAAAATTTAAAACTAAAAATTATACATCATCAAATAACCAACGAAAATAAGTAAAGAAAGTTACTAAAGTCTGACCATGTGAAAAATGACTGAAAAGATCATTTTATGACGAAGGGAGTAACTTTATTCACTTTACTTTAATAATTTCTCACACTTTCTCTTCTTCTCAAATGGGAACCTCACATGTCATAAATTTATTTTATCTACATAACTTTTATTACAATAAAACAAGATAGTTTATTTGTAAAAAAATTAACTAAAGTTTACTTCCTCCGCCGTGAAAAACTTTTCAGCTTTCACATCTTGCTTGTCCCATAAAATATTTCAATTTGAGCTAAGTGAATACAATTGTCTTTACTTTTCTTAAATCAAACCGGACATATCTCAAGTACCTTCTATGCTCTATCTATTTTGGTATTTCACGAGCCCTACTATTTTAAATTAACATCATTTTACCTTGGTCAAATTTCTAGTCTCTTTTTTAAAAGTCAAAAATAGAAAAAGTTTTACAGGACGGGAGTAATATGTTTTAATTTCAGTAAAAAAAAATGTACCTTCCTTCAAAAAAACATTTGTACCACCAATTTTACTTAATAAAAATATGTATACCACAAATTTTAGTTAATAAAATTATGTTTACCACAAATTTTATTTTACATTTCTTAATTTCTAAAAGGATAAACTTCATTATTGAGGGTCATCAAAACCAGACCGCCACATGAGAGGAGGTAAGATCTTCTAATTTACAAATAATATAAGTACCGGGGGTATGAAGCCACACATATACGAAGTAAATTTTTTGAATGCTGCACATATAATATTTACTATGGGAGAGTATTTAAAAAGTACTCCAATATTATGATAAAAATTCAATGAGTAATAAAAAAGTCTTATGCATTGTAATAAAAAGTCTTGTGTTGATCGATTAACCTACACAACAATATACTCCACTTTCCAAAAAAGAAACACAGTTTTCCACGGTGAAACTAAATTCCCCACTTCTTTTCTCTCTCTTCTTTTCCTCTCTTTACTTTAATCCTTCTTTTTTCTTTCCCTCGTGCAACATAAGATTTACTCATACTCTCGTTTCTCCATAAAGCTACTCTTAGTGTTCTTCCCGTATAGTGGGTGTCTATTTTGAGAGAAAGATAAATCACAAAACCGAAGCAACCAAAAAGAAAGGTGTGGTGGTGAGGCAACGAAGGGAGCACCAACGACTAAGAATGAGATCCGCTTATAATCGGTTGCGTTCATACATCCGATCCTTTATAACTAGCCCGTTCCGCATATACATCCGTTTCAATAACCGTTTATTCATGTATTCAATTTGTTATGCAAGTATATAGTTCTTCCCAAATTTTATTTTTGTATTCTGTTTTTCTATTAAAATCTCGGAGTATAAGACAACTTTATATCTAAAATATTTGTGTAGACGCATAAATACGCGTGTATGTGTAGTATGTAATATATACTTTTTACCATATGTGATTTTCGTAGAATAGTATGGATTACAAAAAATAAAAAAACTTCTTCGTAACAAAATTTTGATTGAATTAATATATTAAAAATATTTATACATAGATTACATAATATTTTGTGGAGTATATAATTTAATTTGACTTTGAAAATTTAAAAATCATATTGAAGCCGTTTACACCACTACTTACGGATTAAATTCTTCTTTAATTTCCTCTCAGCTAAGGGCACTGGGTATACTCCTAACGCCGGTCGGCGTTACGCAGCTTTTCACGCCCGACCGGTGTTAAACACCGCCCCCCTGCGGCGTGTTTCGGGCGTCACCCCAAACGCGTCATTCGTTTGACGCTGATTCCCCTTCCCAACGGCTAATTTAGCCGTTGAAACCCAAAAAAAAAAGAAAAATTAAATTATTTTTTATAAATCTCAAACTCCCCCCTCCCATTCTCACACCTTCAATCTCCTTCAATCTTCTTCACATTCTTCAATTCTCCAATTCTCCAACTTTCTTTTGAACATGAATCCTTCCGGCTCCGGCTTCTTTCCCGACAATCTCGAGCCTCACGAGTCCGTGATGTGGTATTTCCAAGAATACGGGAATCATCCGCCGATGTTCGAGACGCAACAATCGGGATACGTCGAGCGAGATTCGGTTCCGGAGACTCAACCGGGACAATCCGGGCGAAATTTAATTTACCTTAGTTTTTTATTAATATATCTTTTTTATTATTGTCGTTTTTTAGTTTAATGAATGTAATTTTTTAAATTTTAAATTATTGTCGTTTCAATTTCTTTAAATTTAATGAATGTATTTTTTTTATTATTCGTGTTTCAATATAATTAAATAATAAATTAATTATATTTTATTAATTTAGTTTTAGAAGATGTATATTTAAAAATAAAGGTTTAAAGCCTCGGGGCTTGAAACCCATGAATGTGTGAATCTATGAGGCTGATGTGGCACAGAGAATTTTGAAGCTGATTTGAAGCAACCTTTGAAGCCCTGGGCTTCACCCTTATTTCCAGTGCTCTCATCGTCCAATTTACAAGTTGGAGCTCAAATACGCCTCACAACAATGGCAGTGAGGCTATTGTCTCTGCCATTTTCCACTTCTACCGCTCCCCAATCGAAGCTCGCGCAGTTCTCAGGCTTCAAATCGGCATCGTATATTCAATCTTTCCCTAAACGGCCGGATAATTCAGGGCGGAGAAGGTCGTATTTTGCCGTTAGGGCGTGCGGGAAACCAGAGGAGAATAATGTTTCCGAGGGGGAGAACCGATGGGGGAAGGTCTCCGCCGTGCTGTTTGATATGGACGGTGTGCTTTGTAATAGCGAGGATCCTTCTAGACGGGCAGCCGTGGACGTTTTCGCGGAAATGGGGATTCAGGTCACCGTTGAAGACTTTACACCCTTTACTGGCATGGGTAAGAATATACTCCACCCGTCCCAAATTATTTGCAACCTTTTCTTTTTCTCGCGGGGAATTTTGTTTATTTCTACGTTTTCATTGGTTATTTGATAAAATAAAATATTAAAAAACTTGATATTTTGCCTCGGGAATACAAGTGTGACAAATATTTAGGGACGGAGGGAGTATATATACTCCTAGCTTGTTATGGAAATGGGGATTCAGGTCACTTTTGAACAACTATGAATGGATAAATTATGAATGGATAAGAGGTGTTTGGTAGTGCACTGCTTTTAAGAATTTAGCTTCTATTTTGTGGAAGTGATTTTACTCTATTTGGCATATCTACTTCTACTTTTTTCTACCACTATTTGTACATAGAACACCTTTCTGGAGAAGCAGTTATGGGATGCTTTAACTTTTAGTTTTTGTGAAAATCACTTTATTCACAAGTTAATTACTCTCAAACACCCTCTAAATGTTTCTTATCTACCCTATTATATAAGCAAGTTACTAGATAGGAAACAAATTGTTGGGTTGCTCTACGAAACAATTTGTTGATGTACTTTAACAAGAGCTGTCTCCCGCACATGAAAAACGATTCATAAAAGTAAAGTTATTATTAATTAATACTATATATTTCATTATCATTGAAAAAACTTTGAAGAAGTAATAATAAATGATTTCTTCAATATTCTAGATAATTCATGAAATAATAATTAATACTCATGTGCATATCATCATTACTTAATATTTTATTATAATAGAATTAACTTAGAAGAAATAAATATTAAGTAAATTTTTCTTCAATATTCTAGTTATCAATGAAATTATAATTAATAACAAATTATTCATGTACAAATCCTAAATTATTTTTCTGACATTTTTCCTACTTCATCACATTGTGACAAGGGCCCTATTTATAGAAAAAGGTATGCCCCTTTTTGAATGGTCACGTCTCTTTTGTAAGAGACACACCAATTTATTTAAAAAACATCCAATTTGAGTTCAAAATAAATATTCAAGAATTACGTCAATTAAGAGCAAACATGTTTCTTCAAAGAGTTGTCTTCATTTATTTAAAATTCAAAATAAATCTCCAACAAATGTGAAGTATATATTGGAATAGATGAATAAAAAATTGAAGTTATTTTGGAACGAAGGTACATTAAACATCCTTTGTTTAATTGTTTCTTACTTTTTGTAATGTTTTGGGCAGTAAACACAACAATGTGTCTAGACTCTAGAGTCTAACCGAAACAATCTCTCTGTTTGTATAAAGGCAAGATTGCGTACATCTTGAATCCAAAACCCTTACGGTGCTGGGATTACAGTAGGTTATTATTGTGTTATTTAAAAAGCATATTAGCATTTATGTATCAATAAAGAACAAGTTAATTCTAAGAAATATTTTGTTTTCTTTTTTACCATCGTTCCTTTAATTTCACGTGCTTTGGATAAAGGGCAACTAAATATGGATTTACGGAGTAGTTCATATCATTTATTTTCACTTAGGTAAAAGCTCAACAGCCCAATTTCATCTTTCTTGAAACTCCACGAAAGACGTAAATGCTCCACGAACATTACAATTAGTCCAAGTTATGGGAGGAATACTGACCTCACTCTAAGGGGTGAATTCATGGTGGGATATTGTTCTTCCTTTCCCCAAGATTTTTACTTCTCCGAGCCTCAAAATGTTGAGCCTATACCACATAGCCATAAACATTGTCAAACTCTGTTCATTAATTTCCTTCAAACTAAGTCGGAAATAATTATAAAGTTGACAAAATATGGAACTAATTTTTGTCATAAATAGGCTAATATAAAATGAATGATCAAAGTTCGGCACGAATTCCCAAAATAATCTTCATTTGTGGCGGGCAGAGTACTATACATTTTAAATGATAATAAGTCTGCCTTGCTGAATTGACCATCTTTTGTGATCTCTACATAAAAAAAATATTTTCTTGTGGGATCTTGTTAGAATCATTTTATTAAAAACTTTCACAATATCATTTTTATATAAATTTTACCAAAATGTAATTAAAGATGTCTGAAAATGTTTGTGCATTGGCACTAGTGCACCACCAAAGTTTTAAAGTTGGAATTATTTTAGAGAAGAGGAAGTATATAATGACACTAAGAAGTCTAGTATAAATATGATTGTATAGAGCTCGTAAATATAATTACAATCTACACAATAACCGAGTATAATCCCAACTTTGTTGGGGCCAGAGGTTTAAGATGTACAAAGTGTATAATAGTAGTAATAAGTCCAATATAAATATGATTATATAGATTTTACAAAATAAATACTATTTATACAACAACTGTATAATATAATCCTAACTTTGTTGGGTGTGAGGGTTCAAGCCTCGCCCTTGTATAATATAGAGAAATTATTTTAGTTAGACCTTTGATACAAATTATACAACAACATTACCCAAGTGCCTCAACGGCTCCCGCTCATTGCGGGCTAAGAGGGGGTCGGATGTACGCGGTCTGACCCATATGTTTAAAACATAGAGCGGCTCTTTCCAGATGACCCATGATGAGCATCAAAAGTTGCATTGACTAACTGCTACTTCACAAATGCAAGAAGTGCAGAGAGTTTAAAGAGCCAATTTGCTTTATTCGATCATACCCAAAGCCAAAAAATAGTAAATCTTTGGCTCCATAGGGGAATGGAAAATTAGTAAATCTTTGATACAAATTATATTTAAAAAATATTGAATTGTGAACTTTTTACCACTAGATTTTCTGGAAGTAGCTTGAACTTTCTTGTAAGTTCGAACTGCATCATTCTTGTTTCCAAGGACTATATATTTCTTGCAAGTGTGTGGATCTTTTTGGACTTTTCAGGATCGTTCTTGTAATAAGTTGTAAAGAATATTCCTGTAATAAGTTTTAAAGAACAAACCTTAGAAACATTTTAGTACAGATTGTGTCACATGGATTTGTAGGATATTTTCATAAAAATCATTGTTTTTTTGGATCCCATAAAAAATCTATATGATTACTAATAGTCACTTTGTCCCATGAAATCTGTCACACCGGTCAAAATTTTACCTATTTCGTTAATCATTTGTTAAAAATAACATAACCGTGTCACCTCTTGTTTTTATATAGTTTTTGAAGTAGCTTTTAAAGATATACGTAAATTTTATTTCAACATTTTACACCAATTGTTGAATAACTTGAATCAAACTTCATTATCCGCAATGTGATACATTTTGTGGAAGAGAGAAAGTATATGCCTTTTCAATGACTTTTCATATGGATCACCTACAAATTCCTTGATGGTTTTGAAATAGGCATTCGCTTGAAGCCTATACAACAACACCAACAATTCAGTATAATCCTAACTCATTTAAGGGTCAAGATGTACATAGTCTTACCCCTGCAAAAATAGAGAGGCTGTTCCCTATAGATCCTAGATGCATTATTGCATTTTGCTATTTTGCTTGAAGTAAAGTGAAAACAAAATAATCCCTTTGTTGATCATTCTATTTTATATTTTTATTTGTAATGTTTATATCATGTAAATTTCATTGCCAGTGGTGTTAAAAGAGTCATAATTTACAACATGTTAGCTTCAAGTAAATACTTAATGGAGTCAAAATGGCACATTAATCTCCTTTACTTCTTACTTTCAATGAAGTTCTGGGTAGTAAATACAGCAAGCCAGCAATGCATGACAGGTCTAACAAAAATGATCTCTCTGGATTTTAGTGGTTAATGTTGCATACATCTTGACCCCATAGGTCATACCCCAATTGAATTAGGATTTTACTGAGTTGTTGTGAAGTTTATATCATGCACTCTGTATTAAGAACACTCAACACTTGTGTATAGTTCTTTCTTCCTTAAACAAACTTTTTTCATGTGCACGCCATTGTTGGCTATGCTCCAATGGATCGAGTCCCATACAACAACATCATGATCAACAACAACAAAGCCTTATCCCACTAGCCGGGGTCGGCTACATGAATCAAACGACACTATTGAGCTCTATCATGTATCATATATGCCAGATTGAATCCCATATGTTTAAAAAATATGGTATTGATTATTGTCCATTGATTTAATTTTATGGGTTTATTTCTCACATGGGACGTGTGTAATTTCTCTATACGTGCAAAGTTGCTCTGAATCACTGTGTATGAGTTGGAAAAATGTATCTTGGTTGTTTTTGTGTGCATTTTCATATTGGTTGACTAGAACTTGTTTCTTGTCATTCATTGATGTACTTAAATATATACTCAATTTAATTACTTTGGCATTACATTTCCTTTTTAAACCTGCTCACTTTCCCTTTCCAATTGTCCTTGTGAAAAATTCAGGGGAAGTGAACTTCTTAGGCGGTGTTGCTAAAGTGAAGGGCATTAAGGGATTCAATCCTGATGCATCAAAGAAGAGATTTTTTGAAATATACCTAGATAAGGTAATGAAAGTGTTTAATTTGCAATTACTTTAGTACGTTGCATAGTTCTAAAAATGTATTGGCGCTTTTGCCTTGAGGCTAACTTCAATGTGAAGCTATAAATCCTATAATAAAAAAGGAACTACAAACTTCTGCTTCACCCTGTCATGGAGATAGTTCTTCAAGCCATTTTTTATTTTAAAACCTTGTTGTAGGATAATTAAACTGTTTGAGACTTTGAGTAGCTGATTACTGAATACCAAGTTTTGTCCTTTTATGTAGTATGCAAAACCAAGTTCTGGCATTGGTTTCCCTGGCGCCTTTGAGCTCGTCACACAGGCATGCAATTTTGCTCCTGACTTGATTCAGATATTGCTAGTATGTGCTCATTTAAGTTTTGTTTCAAAACCTGTTCACGCTGTTTGACAGTGTAAAAGCAAAGGTCTCAAAGTTGCTGTTGCCTCAAGTGCTGATCGCATCAAGGTTGATGCAAACTTAACAGCTGCTGGTTTGTCATTGTCAATGTGAGCTAATGTTATCATCTGATTTAGATAAGTTGCCATTATAGATTTTTAATATAAGTTTGTTTATATTCCTCATTGGCGCTATATATAGGAACTAAATTTATGGGTGACGAGTTGCTCCATTTCGGGAACTTGGTTCATAAGTAAAGAGTCAAGGAAGCTAAAACTAAAGCCGAAGAATATAAAGGAGATCTAGGCAATGCAACATTTTAACAACTAAATACACTTCAGACAACAATTTCGACACCCCACACATATATCATAAGCACTAAGCTTATTTTAAACATAGGCTGTTTAAGGTCTTATGACTCTTCACAAAGACTTAGTGACGATATCTACAAGTCGATCACTAGATTTGACAAGTTGTGATGATTTTCCTTGGAATTTTATTCCGTATAAACTGAGATAAATTTCAACATGTTTGGTTTTTTCATGACAAACAAGATTGAAGACAATATACAGAATCACTTCATTCACTTGATTATCACAAATAAATTTCATTGAGTTTACTTCACAACACCTAAATTCTTGGAGCAAATACTTTAGCCAAATGAGTTCGCATGTGGTGAGGGTCTGAACCTTGACCCTATACACTGGTTTAGTACTTCATTTACAATAGCGCCTTGCTTTTAACTTTTCCTGGAAATGAAATTATCTCCAAAGAAACAATTAAAACACATAATACAGACGCTGGTCTCTTATCACTAAGAGAGCCTGTCAGTCTCTATTAGAGTATGCAATAATGTCGGTCTTACCTTTATTCTCATATAACACTTCTTTTCTAGTAGACCCTTCAATGCTTTTTAATTTTTTGGAAAAAATACCCTCACATAATTTTGAATTGGCATTATCATCCCCATGTTAAAAAATGTGATATCATCCACGTGTTTCAAAAAATTAGCACACTTGCCCACAATGAAATCAGATGCAAAAAATTATTTGTGGACTTAAATCTCCTAGTATGTACGGATATTGGTTCGTGGCTTTGTTCAGATGCAATCCTAGATTGAATATTGCAGAGGTGCAAGTGAACAATTTGTTGGAAACTCGAGAGAAGTAAGGGGTCTCGTAGCAACATTATGAATATCACTTACGGAGTATTTTTTAACTAGGAGGGGATAGCCCAACCAATTCAAAATTACACGAGATTCTTTTTTTTGTATGCAAAAACCCCATTTTAAAATGCAAATGATTGCATTCCAATGACCTTCCCTAGGAGAGTTAAGAAATTGGCTAACAACACTAACTGCAAAAGCTTTATCTTGTTTTGTTATAATGAGATAATTCAGCTTGCCCACAAGTCTTTGATCTGGATCATAATATTGCCTCCTTTGGTCTCATGAAAGCTTAACTTTTCGGTTCATATGAATGTCTACTGGTTTGCAATTTGCAATTTAACAATCCATTTTTCTTTCAAGATGTCAAGTACAATATTTCGCTCGCATAAATAACTTTTTTTGATTTGGCAACCTCATTACCAAGGAAGCACCATAATCTCCCCAGATCGTTTTGTTGAACGTGTTAAGAAAAATGTTGTTCTAGACAAACATTTCCTTCAGTCATTAATTATGATAATAAGACCTTCCACAAAATGTACGAGATAAATATCTTTATGAGAGATCAAATGTCTAGAGAAAACATAATGATCAACCTTACTTTGAGTCATGCCAATATTTTCAAGATTCACCAAGTTTTCCAAACAAAAGCACACATGATTGTTATAAACTATAGAGCGGTTTTTGGATTCTACACATGAGACCTTACTCCCTTGAGCAACAATTCTGGGAGGTTGCTCTATATATTACGGAGTAATTCTCTTCTGAAGTTTCATGCAAGAAAACATTCTTTATATCAAGCTGATATAATGGCCAATGAGGTATTGAGATATAGCTTCTATAGTCAAAATGAGACGAGGAAATGCTATTCTAGCAAGGCGAGAAAATGTATAATATAATCAAGCCCATAAATCTATGCATAATCCTTGACCAAAATCTATTAATCATTTCACATTGATGTCAGAGAGTTTTTCTTTAAGGGCCATCTGATCTAGTAATGGAATAATGGCTATATTGCTATATAGAGAATTGAAGTGCCATTGCACGATCTTTTGACACGAAAAGTAGAGTTTTCATTCTATTGCAGCTTTATTATATTGGAATCAATAGGTTGGGTGTAGAAACTTGAGATAGGGTCCGAGACAATGGTTCAGACGGAAACAAATGAACATAAAGAGGGATAAGTACAACAGGGAATGCTTACAAAGAAAAAAAATTAAAAAATGAAACCCAATTATTTTAACTTCTTGCAATTAGTGTGCACATTTCTTTTCTTATCATCATTATTATCAACACTTCAGTCCCAGCTTGTTGGGGGTCAGTGACATTAAATTTATAGTGTGCCAATTTGCTTATCGTTAGTTAACACAGATAATGCAAAAAACATAGTAGCAGTGTTTTACGCTTGGATGCCCTTCTTGTCGCAACCTTCACAAGACTGAATAATGAGATGAAAATTCCAATACATGGAAAATATCATGAAATGACAATGAGTTGACTAGTTAAGATAATTTTGGTTGCAATGCCCCTTACACGATTGATATTGTAAAATCAACCTGTAAATTTATCCACTTTCCTGCTGTGACTTTGGTTTTCAAAATAAAGAGTAATTTACTGGTTTTGGATTGCCACCCGACCAGGGCTAAAACATAGAATTTCTCACTGCTCTTTATTCTGACTTTGTTATAACTTATAACAGTTCTCTGTTTAGATTGATGACAAATTGGCTTCCTTGATGGCATGCTAATTGCTAACATCTTAGAAAGTAGAAACAAAGTTCAACTTGAATGACTTGTATTGTTAACATTTCATTTTATTTTCTTTTCAACTTTTGCTGTTTCACCGTCTTGACCCCCACACCGGCCACACGTCTTCAGGTTTGATGCAATTGTCTCTGCTGATGCATTCGAGAATTTGAAACCTGCCCCAGATATTTTTTTGGCCGCATCAAAGATTTTGAATGTGCCCCCTAGTGAGGTAAAGTAGCAAGAGAGCTTACATGCAGTACTGCCATTATATATTCCTCAAAAAGTACATAAAATACAAACATCTGAAAGGTTAACTTTTGTCTAGTACATGATCACAGGCTTGCTTATAACGGGCATTAGTATTGCTTGAATTTTATGTATGAACTTAATATTCTACTTGCTTAAATGCAGTGTGTTGTGATTGAAGATGCATTAGCTGGCATACGAGCTGCCAAAGCAGCAAAAATGAGGTACAAACGGTGGTGTCTTATGTTCAATGAGAACTCCATATTTTGTTATGTTCAATGAGGGCACCATTTATTTGCATCCGTCACTTGAGCAAATCAAATCACATTGCAGATGCATAGCTGTGGCTACAACATTAGCAGAAAGTATTTTAGAAGCAGCAGCTCCATCTCTCATCAGAAAGGGGATATACAATATCTCACTTGATGATATTCTCAGTGGTGGATCTGGTTCCAATAGTATGCAGTTTTAAAATCAACGAGAAATGTCATTTGTACCATTCATGATACTCCTGTCCCACAAAACATTTCCAGCTTGAAAAAGGCGGGCTTTAAAAATGTGTAATTTTGATGTTATTGTCTAATTTTGCCCTTACTTTATAATATGGTGGGATATGATGTGTTATATGTAGGATAGAAAATTAGAAATTAGCAGATAACATCAAAATTGTACATTTTAAAACACGCCTTTTTTCTAACTGGAAATGTTTTGTGGGATAGAGGGAGTATTAATGAAACTGGTGTATGTCAATTTCATGAATAACTTAACCTTGTAATTGATTCCTTGTTAACTAAAGGGGGGTTTCCTCTTTTCGACACAAACAATTTGCTTGTGCAATCTATTGACTTTTTATCAGCATTAATATTTGAGGTTTGTTTTTCAAAAGTTGCTAAAAGGTTGCTTCTGATGGGCGTCAACTTTATGATCAGTATCAAGTTTTCTGTTTCTATGAATTCCGAGTTGAACTCTCACTAAGATAAAATTGCAGATGCGAAGATGCAGGGAACTCAACCTATCCAGTATCATGCACCATCTTCCATTGAACCCAACAGTAAATGTATTACACCAGTGCAGGACAAATATCCTACCATTGGCTCAGTCCCCTCATTTGGAGGGTAAGAGTGACCATATCTAAATCAGTTATTTAGTAATTTTCATACCACAATTAATTCAAATGTGCTTTCGCCCATTTTATAATTTAGAGATAACGTTAGCTTTCTACTTTGTTCTCCGTGTTTTGTTTTTTTTTGTCATGGACTTCTCAAAGTCTCTGTATTATATCTATTTGTTGGCTCTTAATATCACTCAATTGGTCAAGGAAGACTGTATTTGGTACGACGGTATATCTCTTTGTTGGCAGTTCTCAAAATCTTTATAGTATATCTCTTTGTTGGGATTTGTTTTGGGATTTTCTGCATAACAGAACACTTCTTTATGTTCTTCATTTACATTTCTTTCTCAAGGAAATACCAGCTATTGAGACTAGTGAGCTACTTTAATTTTCTTCCACTTCTAGAGAAAAATAATGGTTTCAGTTCATTGTTGTCATGAGATGGCCGAAATAATTCACCGGACAGGGTGCAGGTTTCCAGGCGCAATGTTGTGAGATATACAAGTTTGGGAATTGCTGCATCTTGTCTTGTTTTCATCATCACAAATTGGAAGGTTACACTTTAATATAAAATATAAATATATTTTAGAATTATTTTTACCCCAACATTTCCATGATTTTCTTTAATCTAGTTTATATGTTTTTGGAACTGTTTTTGAACTCCAAGTTTTCATTATTATACCCTTCTCAAAGGCAGTGCAGTATACATCTCCAAAAGCTATTTGGAATCTTTTATTTGGAATCAGCAGCCCACCCTTCAGACAAAGTGAAGGTCTCACATTTTTGCAAGTTCCCTTTATTTGCTTCATGCCTACCTGTCAAATTCCTTCATTCAATTTTTTTCATTTGATTATTCTATTTGGCTTCCTTGTAAAAAGAATTCTTTATGAAAGAAAATAATTGTAGTAAACCTATTGTTATTGCAGGCACATCTCGCTCACAGAAAATTCAACAGCTTATAAGCTATATCTCTGATCTAGAGGCCAGGCAAGTTTATACTTTATACCCTTAGTTGTATACTGCTCATGATATCAAATAGTTGTTCACTCTTTGATTACCCATTTATAAGGTTCTTGTTTGAATCCTTGACTTTTTTTGGAAAAGTTGAGATTCTACTCATCTCATATTTCAATCAACGTCTTCTAGGGAAAATGTTACTACTGTGCCAGAGTTCCCATCTAAAATAGATTGGCTAAATACTGCCCCTCTCCAGCTGGGTCGGGTAAAAACAATATCCCATCCCCCACCCCGTGTTTTATTGTTTAATGAATGTTTTAGATTTCCTACACAATGCAATCAATTCAGTACATGTGTTGGCCCAAGCATTAATGTAAAATACTGGGCGGCACAATGAACATACATGCAACATGGTCTAGATGTTGATTGAGACAGTTGAGTCATTGTAATTCATGACAAACACCCAATACCTTTCCAGTGCGATAATCCCAAAGAGTAACAGAGTCAATGGAAAATGTTAAAGAGCAATGAAGGGTGTAGGTCTGTAGGAACACACAAAACATGATCTAAAGGCAATGAAGCCAATGAAATAGCCTGCCAACTCCCGCAACAGTAGTTTTAGGTCCATTTGGAATTGTAACGGTGTGTAGAGGCAGAAATTTAGAAATTTCACATAGAAGAAAGGGATTACTACAAATATCTTCAGAGGCACATGAATCCAATATCTATAACCCATGAGTATCAGTTTTGGAGCCATATACCATATGAAATTGTTTAAGGGTCGGGTCCTAAATTATTGTTACTTTTGCCATGTTTTAGTAAATAACTATGCAATATGTTTTTTAAGCAGTCTAGACTGATTTTCCAACAGAAGCAAGTCATGCATGCAGAGAAAAGAATAAATGAACACAAGATTTGTTTATCCAATTCAGAGAAAATTACTTCCTGTTTCCTAATATGGGGGATCTCTACATTCTTGTAGCGATCCAATCCACTAATCACAATAAGTTAACACAAATGATTAATACACATCACTTCAGGAATAATTATAACACACAAACTAAGAAAGTGAATAAAAAGCACAAGCTCTATTTTAAGTGCTGCGAACCTCCACTCTCTCCTACACTTCTAGAACATGGATCTTCGATTGATCACCAACAATATAGGAACGGATCAATGGTAACATATAGAGAAGCTTTAGCATGGTTCTTCATAAACAAATGCTTCTCAACAAAACATGCGTGAGTGAAAATACACAGAGACATGAATTACCTTGCTGTTAATATCAAATCAGCACTCTCCTCTCACATAGTCACAATCGCACGACAAGAGATCACAGATATATCAGACTTCACGCCATTCTTCCAAAAAATGAAAAACCCCAGAGTTTTTTATATAGAGAGCCATGCACCAATATTCTCTTCCAAGTTCCAACACAAACTCTTACAACCATGCACCACAATAAAGAAAAGTTCAACAAGAACTGCGTTTCTTTAAAGTCAGTAGGCCAGACAAAGTCATTGCTGCCCGGAGAATATATCGAAACCCAAACTCCTTCTAAATAGTTAGTAGTGAGGACTTATATCAGAACCTAAACTCATTTGATCTCAAACCAATAAATGCCAATCACAAATATGCACTTACACCATAGATGAAGTGTTTATTTGAATCATAGTAGAAGAAAAAGGTGCAGCCAATGCCTTGATGACGATAAATAGAAAAGTGTTGGGCGAATTGAGTGTGGAGGCTTGACCAGGAAGGGCAGCCAGCCCTAGTCTTGGTTCGACCCATATGGCGGTAAATTAGGTTTTTAATTTAGCCGGCCCTAATTCTCTATGTGGGCTTGGGCCTAACTTGGGGATTAAGTTTTCAACCCTAGTTTAGTCTTCATAAATAGGGATCTCTGTACTTGTAATTCTGTGAGCACCTGGATAATAAAAACCCTAGTTGCAAAGTGGATTAGGTCAGCCGACCGAACCACTATAAATCTTGTGTTCCATTTTCTCCGTTTTGATTTCTGTTTTGTGTGTGTTCTTGTTTGGTTGTGGTTTGCTATTCAGTATTCATAGATACCCCAACAACTGGTATCAGAGCCTTAAGTTTGTGATTAGTCTTCCCTCGGGTTCGTGGAGATCAGGTTCAAATCGAAGATTAGGGTTTCGAAGGGTTTGAAGATCAGTTCCGCCACCGTCATAGTTTCCGCTGCAGAATACGGTCTGTACTGTCTTGTGAACAGTAATCGTGCCGCCGCTGTGAACAGCCGATGCTGCTAGGGTTTTGTTTAGCCGCCGCTGCTAGGGTTCCGAATAGCCGCTGCCAAGGTTAGTTCGTTATTGGTTTTTTCAATCTCAGATCAGTTTTTCAGCCGTGTATGGAAACAATGGCAGATGAAAAGATAAAGATTGAAAAGTTTGATGGAAGTGATTTTGGGTTTTGGAAGATGCAAATCGAGGATGTTCTTTATCAGAAAGACTTATACCAAACGTTATCGGGAGAAAAGCCAGAAAAGATGAGTGATGCAGATTGGGCGATTTTGGACAGGAAAGCTTTGGGAGTGGTTAGGTTGTCATTGG